CCCACCACCCCCCGAAATCAATTGCCCTCCCACGCCTCACTAAATGAATCACCCCAAAAAAAAATTTGCCCCTGATAAAAATACACCCTCTTCAGCCACCGAAACCCGAGAGGCCTCCCTCACCAGAACATTCACCTTTTACCCACTACCATATGTCCCTTCCTTAGCCATCACTACTCAGATGCATTCCTTTTGGTAACATTCCCAGTGACATTACGTTTTTTCCCCAACCTACATTCTCCCTGGTTAGTTTTCCCCCCTGCTAAACAGAGATACATGCTGATGTAAAATTTAGTGACAGGGGGCAAATGCCCACTTTAAGGGATGTGGATCCATTGTCATTCACAATGAAAAAAAGGGCTGCACAGGGGTCTAAATTATTAGCACTCCCCCCGGGCAGTACTCAGGTTGTTGGTTTTAATTCCCAACCATGGCACCACCTGCCTGGAGTTTGCATGTTCTCCCTGTGCCTGCGTGGGTTTCCTCTGGGTACCATCCCGGTTTCCTCCCACACCCCAAAAAGACATGCTGGTAGTTAATTGCTCCTGTCTAAATTGGCCCTAGTATGTGTTTGTATGAATGTGAGTTAGGGCCCCTTAATTGTACGCTCCTCGGGGCGGGGACGAGTTGAATGTACAATATATATGTAAAGCGCTGTTAAATTGATGGCGCTATATAAGTACCTGAAATAAATAAAAAATGATCTTGACAAAACACCAACACAAAAACAGCAAACAATGCATTCTGTTGTTCTTCTGATGGACTCTTGCCACATTTGAACAGATCCCTGCTGAATGTCAACCAACCTTTAAAACCCAAATTTGGTCAATTACATCAGCCAGCATCCTTAACCCTGGGATAATTTATTGGTTGCTAGAAAGCAGGTGTCTAACAGTATCCTAGCAGCAACAAGATTGGGAAGCTGTCACATTAAAATGATTATAGAGGCTTGTTACTTACCTGCTCTGTGTAATGGTTTTGCACAGAGCAACCCCGATCCACCTCTTCTGGAGTCCCCCGCCAGTACTCCTGCGGGACTCCACCTCCTGCCAATAGCCCCAACGCAAGCCACTTGGCTCATGGGTGGCAAACTCTGCCTAACTTGTGCCCATACGATACACAGTGTAAACGGGATTGCCTCGTCCCCCCGCTCATCACTAGCCCTGATTAACAGCAGCAGGAGCCAATGTTTCGCTGCTGCAGTATCTGAGCCAATGAGGAGCGAGAGAGCAGGTTGCCTCGCTCTCATACCACATAGCTGGATCATGGTACTCTTTACGTCTGGAGGAAAAGAAAATTGTAATCTCCAAACACGGAAAAGGTTTTTCACAGTAAAGAGCTGTGAAATGTGGAATAGACTCCCTCAAGAGTTGGTTTCTGGCCAGTTCAGTGGAATGACTTCAAAAAAAGACCTGGATACTTTTTCCTAGACTAAACAGGAATATAACTGCGATACTAACATTTATAGTGAAAGTTGATCCTGGGAATGTACCGATTGCCTCTCGGAGGATCAGGTGAAAGATTTTTTATTTCCCCGCAGGAGCAAGTTGGATCGTGCTTTGCTGGGTTTTTTGCCTTCCTCTGGATCAACTGTGGGTGTAGGATTTTAAGTTTTTTTTTTTTTGGTTGAACTGATGGACTTTTGTCTTTTTTTGGCTAGACTAACTATGTAACTATGATTGGGCTCAGGTATGTATTTAGGGAGGGCTGCGGAGGAAGCTGCATCCAGAAGGGTTTTTAACTTTAACTGAATAGAATGCAGTAAGGTAAAAAAAAAAACCTTCTGGCTTCATAACCACTTTAAGGCCGACCAGACATGGGTCGAAATTCGTCCGGTTAAGCAGGGACTGGCCAAATTTCGATCCAAGTATGAGCAGGCTGGTTGTACACAGGTTCCCAACCAATCAACCTGTAATACAACCAACCTGTTGGAACTGTTTTCTCTTGATCAGCATGCTGCAGCACAGTCACAATACAGTACAAAGGCTTGGCGGGATCAATTCCCTCATCCACATCAAGTGTGTGGATGAGGCAATTAATAAAACTCCCCAAGAATAGTGCTGCCTACTCCCCCAGTGACCCAAAAAATACACAAACAATAAACACCCTCCTGAACATCAAACCCAATGTGCAATAGAATAAATCTGTGAAACAAAGTCAATAATACAAAAAAAAAAAAAAAAAAACCAACAACTGACTGAGCCACTAAATCCAAAAAAAAAAAGGAAACATATATAAAAAATAAACAAACCCAAATTTGCAATAAACACCTGGGCCAAACCCATAAAAAACACCCGCTGAGCTTAAGAATAAAGTTTAAAAAAACAACAAAAACAGTAAAATAGGTGAAAACCCTATACAAGAAAAAAAACATGATCACAATTTGGGAGTAAACACCCTTTTCCGACAAAAAAAACACCTGGCTAACCTGGGAAACAATTTAAAATTGAAAATCAACTAAAAAAAGTATTAAATGATTGTAAAACCCAAAACCCACTGAAACAAAACTGCCCCCCATGGTGATGAATTAAAATATATGTTCATCTAGCTGATATTCACAAAATTTTTTTTTTGTTACAAAATTGGTTTTTATGCTCAGGAGGGTGTTTTTTTTATTATTAGTGTAGTTTTTTGGGTCCCCTAGGGGGCAACAAAAGCACTATTCCCTTTGGGGTTTTTTTTTGATGTGGGAAAAACATTTAGGTCCGCAAACAGTTGGGTCGTTTATTTTGTGGCAGCGCTGAAATATTATAAAAATTATTTTGGGTGGGGTCAATCAAGTCAATTTTACTTTTTTCAAAAACCCCGGGTGGAAAGAAAGAAAATGACTTGTGTATGGGCTGTCTTAGTTGTTGGGTAAAAATATTTAAAAGAAATTTTCCTTCTTCATTGGGGCAACTCAAAAATGGTTTTGGGTTTCCCCCCTCACTTCTGTCCTAGAAAAGACGATGGCCCAGGGCTAACAGGGGAAAAATAATTTTCCCCCCAAAAGTATTCAATGACAGGGATTCTAATCCTTCCACATCTTTTAAACCCAAAAAAAAAATGAAAATAAACGAATTTGTTTTTCCCTCCGAAACTCAAAACCCTTATTTCCGGGTGTTTTTCCCGGGAACAACATAAAGATGAAAAATTTAAAACTCCAAGCAGTTCACGTCTTTTTGGACAAACCCCCTTTTGCGAAACAGGAGAACCTTCCCCCGGGAAAGGGAATGGGTTTTTTCCCATAATTTAAAAAATGGGGGAGCAAGAACAGAAAAGGAGATTTTTTTCCCAGCACAATAGGGGAAAACGGCCCAAATTGTTCCCCGGTTTTTTTACAATAAACTTTCCATTTTTAAATTTGCCGCATCAATTAAAGCGTTTTTCTTTTTTCAGACCAGAAAAAAAAAAAAAAAAATTTAAAAAATTGGTTGTGCTCCATTGAGTTGGAATTTTTGTTTTTCATTTTGAATAACCCCTTTTGTAACAGAACCGGACCCAACTCCCACTTGGGTATTTCCTTTAGTTTCCCGGGTTTCCCCCGTCCGAACCCGACCACGGACACCACTCTTGAAATAACTCAGGAAATAGGCTACTTTATTTTAACCCAGATACAAGATATATACACACCCCGGGGGGCAAATACACACCCCCTAACAAGAAAAACATTGGGAGGCCGCCCCTTTAGGGGGAAGGGCTTTCCGGGAAAAATCCCCCACCAAGCCCAAAAAACAAACACATAGTTTTTTTCCCCCAAAAACACACAATAGAAAATCCCGGAAAACAAACCCCATGGCATTAAAAAATGAAAAACCCCCCCCCACACCCCAAAAAACACACCTATACTATCTAAAAAATAAATTTGGGCATTTTACCCTTACCCCTAACCCGGGACAGGGTATTTTTCACAAGAAAGGGATATGGGGGGCTTAGACAGGGGTCCCCCCCACCCCTCCCAAATGAGGGTGGGTTTTCCCTGGGCCCCCCACCCCAAAAAGACTCCTGTCACACCTATTTAATATATGTTGGGTTTTTTTAAAACCCCCCTTTTTGCTGTCCCAAAGCTTGTTGCTTTTATGGCCATAAAGGGCAGCCATATTTCCCTGATTAAAATGTGAATGCTCTTCTCCTGGTTTTTCCCCCAGTTGATCCTCTTATCTCAATGAAGGCTAAACCCACAGGACAGGGAAAAATTTCAGTCTAATTTTGTAATTTTCCCATGGGGAGATTTACTAAAACTGGAAAGTGCAAAATCTGGTGCAGCTGTGAACAGCAACCAATCAGTTTCCATATCTTATTGTCAAGCTGAAGTTAGAAGCTGATTGGCTGCCGTGCACAGCTGCACCAGATTCTGAGTGCTCCAGTTTTAGTAAACCTCTCCATAATGTCCATTATTGTTATTAATATTATACAGGATTTATGGCGCCAACAGTTTGCTCAGCATTTACATTATAGTGAGAGACAATACAGTAACAATACAGTCCAATACAAGAGGGATTTGAGGGCCCTGATCCTGGGAGCTTACAATCTAGGAGGGCGGGGTGAGTGGTACAGTAGGTAGTCACTGTGGGGGATGGACTGGTTGGAAGAGTACAGGATTCCAGAATTAGCTGAGGGCGGGATAGGCTTCCCTGAAGACATAGGTTTTCAGTGAACGCCGAAAAGGCAAGTAGAGTAGGTGATAATTTAAAAGTTGGGGTAGGGAGTTCCAGAGGATGGGTGACACCCTGGAGAAGTCTTGGAGACGAGCATGGGAGGAGAGATGAGGGAGCTAGAGAGTAGGAGGTCTTGCGAGGAGCGGAGTGTACTGGTTTGGGTGATATTTAGAGATAAGATCGGTTATGTAAATTGGGGCGGAGTTGTGGACGGCTTTATATGTCATTGTTAGAGTTTTGAATTGTATCCGTTGGGCAACTGGGAGCCAGTGGAAGGATTGGCAGAGAGTGGTGGAGGCCAGTGGAAGGATTGGCCAGAGAGGGATGGAGGACACTGAGTGGAGATCAGTGGAGGGATTGGCAGAGAGGGGTGGAGGCCAGTGGAAGATTGGCAGAGAGGGATGGAGGACACTGAGTAGAGGTCAGTGGTGGGATTGGCAGAGAGGGGTGGAGGCCAGTGGAAGGATTGGCAGAGAGGGATAGAGGACACAGAGTGGAGGTCAGTGGAGGATTGGCAGAGAGGGATGAAGGACACTGAGTGGAGGTCAGTGGAGGGATTGGCAGAGAGGGGGGGAGGACACGAGTGGAGGTCAGTGGAGGGTTTGGAAAAGGGGGGTGGAGGACCGGTGGAGGTCAGTGGAGGGATTGGCAAGAGGGAGAAGGACACTGAGGGGGAGTCAGGGGAGGGATTGGCAGAAGGGGAGGGTGAATACAAAACGGTTAGTGGGGTGGATGAGTCTGGCAGAGCATTTCATGATAGACTGGGGAGGATAGTCTACGGGGGGTCGGCCAATGGGAGGGATTAAATATTCGGGGCGTGATATGAAAGGGAGTGAATAATTTTCCTTTTAGGGTTTCCGGGGTTGGAACGGGGCGATCTTTTGGAGTTTGCGGAGGTAATCTACTGATTTGTCAGTGATTGGATCTGGGGCTGGAAGGACGGGGGTCTAGGATGACACCAATACTCGGGCATGAGGGGAGGGACGAGTATGGTGTTAGCGAATTTAGGTGAAGTGGGGGGGGAGGGGGGCACGGGCTGGGGGAATACTGGGTGAGGGGGGGAGCTCAGATGATTGTAACAACGTTCTAGTAGTTTGGGGGAAAATTTGGCGCAGGTAAGGGGTCTTAGGTTGTTTGGGGTGGGGGGATTCGGGGAAGGGCTTCTTAATATGGGAGTGATGTGGCATGTTTTTAAAGGGGGGGGAAGGTCCCGGGGGAGAGGGAGAGATTGAAGAGGGAGTGGGGGAAAGGAGGAAAAGGGGGGGGCCGAAGGAGTTGTGAGGGGACAGGGTTCCCCGGGGGGGAGGGGGGGTGAGGCGGGCTTTTGAGAAACCTTTAAAGGGCCCCCATTATTTGCCAAAGGCTTTGTGATTGGGCCAGCCATAATCGCGAAAATTACGGACCCAAGAAAAACGGCCGGGTTTTCGCTCTGTTAGTGGGGGGCAATGGACCGGCCCTTTTTTATGGTTCCCCCCCTTTTCGGGATCGGGATGTTGGGAAAATTTTTTTGAAAAAAGGGGCCATTTTTTTGACTCAATGTGGTCAAACGTACAATTGTTTTTCCAAAAAGAATGGCGCAGACCCCTGACCTGGGGAAGGAACGAAGTTTTGCATGTTATATGGGGGGGAACTTTATGATCGGTTTGGCCAATTTTGCAAAAAACATCAATGGGGGGGGCCCTGCATTACCGGCGAACGACGTTTCCGATTTTTGGATAAAAAAACGTTCTGAAATTTTGAACCATTTTTGGGCCCGCATGAGGGGTGCGCAATGTTCATTAACATCAGAAGGGAACATGTCCATTCAAGGTGAGGGGTGAGACGAGCATACCTGGTGGTATTGAGGGAGGGTTTGCTGAACACTAAAAATTCAAATTAAATAAACCTCACTGATGTCAATTGGGAAAACCCCTTAAAATCATTTGGGTATTTTCAAGGTAATTTGGAAAGGGATTTCAAACCATGGATGGCATGGGAAGGCTGGCACTGCTAGGAAACTGTACCAATGCAAAAATATAAAAAAAAAAAACATTTTGTGGGGGGAAAAGTAATTTTTAATAAAATTTAAAGTGAAACATTAAAAGGGGCAATTCCTTTAAAAAACATGCCTTAAATTGCTGTAAAATGACACCTCTACAATTATACAGTTCTACAGCAAAGTTG